AGCGGCAGTAACGGGGGCAAGTTAAAATTTGTCATGCTCTGGACTCTGCCAATTATCTCAACTGATAGCCCATCCTGTATGGTCCACACTAGACACAGAGACACAACACGAAGCTAGCCAACCCTACTGATAAACGTACTTTGGTATACGGTCGTTAATGTTCTCTTCAGTGCTTCTTCGTGTGTTCTCATACCTAGGAAATCCATTGCACATCGACTTTTCCTCTGGGGGACGTCATCACTTATACAAAAATACGACTTAAAAAAGCAATAAGTGTATTCATATGTGAACTACTTTCATGCGAGCTTATTTTGTATGTCAACGCACAAGTGGCAATTGGCATACGTCACGAACAAGGGTCATGGTCTATATAAGTGCTCACAAGGGATGTATTGTATGCTTTAATTAACAAGGTGCCTGGTTTACATAATTACTCGCAAGGGACATATTGTATGTGTTAGCGATCATGGTTTGGGGCATGGTTTGAACAAGTTTGTACATAGTGAAAGAAAGTATACACCCAAGGCTGAAATGAAACAAAACAAGAAATGGTTATTCGATGGTGAATTATTTGATACAGGTCTCATATTTTTCATAGTGTTTTTTTACCTTCAGTTTGCTTTGTTTTGGTGTTTTCAGCCTGGTAACGTTCTGATAACGTTCGTATTTTTTATCAAATACAATTTTCAAGTGTTTACTTTATTTGACCCGGCAGTTTAGTTCGAGAACAAAAGACAATCGCCGCGAAAAGCTGCAAGATGGCTGATCTGGCGTTAAGCAATGCTCACACACCCACAAATGACAAATAGTAACGTCAACGGACAATAAATTGAGGCTATATGTTTCCGAACAAGGGACATTGTTCTGTATTTCAGAAAAGCACAGTGGTTGTATCCGTACATACATGTATTGACATGTTAATTGACAAGGAGCAATGGTTAAGTATTATAAAGGTTATTATCTCTACGGTTCAGTTTGGTTACACATGTATGCTCCCTTAAAATTATATTCACGCTGTACTATGTAGGTTAAATTGAAAATAGTATATCGCCCAATGTAATATTAAACGAAATTCAAAACTGCAAACGCACTATGCCCTCATGCGTAATCAAGTACGTGGAATACCTATATCTGCAACCTGTTCCCTGACAATCAATAAAGGAATATAATAAAGTCGCAGCTGCCGTGATGCTGCCTATATGTGATTGATAATATTGTATGGACGATGACCGTACCATAACTAAGTCCCATATACTTAAAGCTTTGAAGTAGACAAACTATTGTTTATTTCATTGCGTTGTGTGGTACAAACAATCTGTGAACTATTACGATAATAGTGCGTCCCTAGTTTTCATGGATTATTTGCATAGCCTAGATCATATGTTGGTACGGTGCCACTGCCCTGTTTGTCGCCAGCATTCAACGACTATTCCTTGTATCAAACATTCACGAAGCACTGTTTTATTAATTTGCAATCTATACCTTCAGGATGCAAATGCATCCATCTATATGTCTATCCCTCTATAAGTCTTATCTGTTTGCAATGTTCTATGACGCACTTCTTTACACGTGTTCGCATTCAACATCCATGCACTGTTCTCAAACATTGCCAAGGTTATCCCCAATATTCACGCACTGTTCTACACATTTGGCAAGCGTGTCTCAAATATTGATAATAACGCGCTGTTCTATAAATTTGACAAGACTTAGTATGTCCCCAATATTCACACACTGTTCCAAAAAAAACCTGCCACGTTTGTCTCCAATATTCATGCACTGTTCTATACATTTGACAAATGTCTCCGATATTCATACACTGTTCTATACATTTGACAAGTGTGTCTCAATATGCATACACTGTTCTATACATTCGATAAGTGTGTTTCCAATATTCATACACTGTTCTATACATTTGACAAGTGTGTCTCAAATATTCATGCACTATTCTCAAACATTGCCAAGTTTATACCCAATATTCATGCACTGTTCTATACATTTGGCAAGTGTGTCTCAAATATTTATAATAATGCGCTGTTCTATAAATTTGACAAGACTTAGTGTCTCTCCAGTATTCATGCACTGTTCTCCAACATTGCCAAGTATCAACTCCAATAGTATTGCACTGTTCTAGGACAACACCATATGGTCCCCTATAATGAATGATGTTTCCACCCTGACATAAGTTCCCTTACAACCCTACAGTAAATTATTTCGCAACGCCTGAAACGCACCGCCGTGCAATTCTAACGTGCTAACTAGAAGACATCAGTGCTTTGTAAGGTTTTGTGTCACTGACGTGGATGACTCTGTATAATAGGGTCAGCTTTTTACGTTATGTCAGTTTAAATACGCAGAGTAGTAATGATAAGGATACAGAGGTTGTTTTGATGTGAAACCTAAATGAGTTCACTCATCAAAGGCAGGGTATTGTCCATACACGGAGTTCATGCATCATCCCCTCACGCGGTCTTAATTGAAAATCAATGTGTCTACACGCACCAGTTCTTAACAAAAACCACATTAGCGTTTACGGCTGTTCTGATGCTCGCTTGCGTCGCTATCCAGACCAAATAAGCTTATTTGGCTGAACATAACACAGAGAGCTTATTGCTGTTTGTGTAATCCAACATGAAGCTCCACTGACTCTAACCAAACCAAACACATGTGCACTTATTCAACCTACTACGGCTTTTGAAACCAAATAATGCCATAATGAAAATTGTTACTAAACGCTAATGTGAGGTAATTGAATGAAGTAATTAAAATGCCAAAACTCCTTTCCGATAAAATACAATAATATATTTTGACTCTTAATTAACTCAGCGAAAGAGAGTTTGTTTTAAAGAGTAAGATATGCTCACACACCTTAATACAGTCATATAAAGGATCAAGTGGGATCTAAATAGTACTAATACATTATATTTTTATCAGCTTTCGGAAACATACATGTACAAGGACCGATCGTTTTATTATTTAGTGGGGGCGTGGTGGCGGTTTAGGGGGTTCTGAAAACAGTAATATGTTTCCGGTAAAGCAATTGTCCTCAGGGCTTGCAAAACCATTCGTTCTCTCGACGTGTTTTTTTGTTCTGCAAGTGGTGGATTGTGAGTCCTAAATCATTTACCTCCGACTCTGCGAGATATAAATTGAAAGAACAAGGCAGAATAAGGGACATTAAAACAAATATTGGCAACTTCAAATGAATATATCATTTTTGTACACGGTCGGGCTAAATGTGATGGCCTTGATAACCTCAAAGCGTAGAATACTCATCAGAGTATTGCAACATAAAGCTGTATTGCACTAATAACAATGTCACCAAAAGTCAGCCACGTTAAGAACGTATCTCAATTACAAAGCCAATCAATTACCTGCTTATCATCATGCACGCGGTAATCTAGCCTCACCTGTATAATATACAACAGAAACAGTGGACAGAAATGAATATTCGTAAATAACAAGAATATGTTTTATTGGAACTACAATTTCTGTATAGTTTTGAAATATATAAGAGTTATTTATTTGTTTTACGCCGCCTTGAACATTATTCCTGTTATATCAACGGCGTGTCAGCTTATCGTGGGAGAAAGGAGTGATGCAGGTCTAAGAAGTTTACCACTTTGGTGAAACCCACTTTCTCGGGAGATAAATCAGAAGTGTTATGGGCACGCACTATCTACAATTCTACCTTAAATTTGTAAACTACTTGATTCTGATTTGTCAGAGGTTCAAATTACATTGAAAACCTTTGATTGAAACAGTTCATTTGACGACCATATGACCACGGACGACAATATGAATAAACAAGTCTTCAATTTAAGTCATTATGGGTAGGCATTCTAAAATAAGTATGTGTACAATTATAGGTTAAATGCATATTTGCGGTGATTACAATATCCAAACTACGTGTGGCAATACATTTGTACTGAAACGCAATAGCAATCGGCCGAGAGAGTGTATTTAATATTTGTGGGACATCTTGGGAAAGCTTGATATTTGGCACTTTGCTATATAGCCGACTGTGACGCCATCATTTGTGTCACAATGACCCGTGTGACATCATAATAGTGACGCACAGTGTAGAACTGAGCCTTGAAAGGCTCGCTTACATTTCTTTCAGGGTACCGACTTCACGCTTACTTACGAAGAAGCTGTGCTACACATTTTCGATGCTTGCCATAAATGCGAGTAAGCATACTACAAAAGGAATCTTCAGGCATATAAAGTGCAATCGTTTGTTTTAAGTGTATTGTCGGTATTTCATGAATTGAACTCGACAGCTCATTCAAAATAATGAACAAAATCCTTGCCGTTTCCTTGCCCCAAAGAGTTCGCGTATAATTTAATTTTGTCAAGGTAGAATGGAAATAATTGTGCGTGGTTATATCTGCAGGTAATCTCTAAACTGAACAAAACACAGTATATATCTCCCACATTATAAAGTCAAATAAAATACACAATCCCAGCACAACAACCCTCGAGACAGTTCAAGTGAGGATTAATGCAGCATAGGGCACAAATCACAAGCTATATGCATACATCTCGAGTGTAGAATTCCAAGTTAAGTCACTGGCACTGGCTGCAAAGAGAAACGCTTCGTTAAACCAGAAAATTATAACTCTTTCCCTGATCAAAGCTAGGGTAAGCCATGCAGATGTGAGTCAAAAGTACACAGAAGTACCGATATATCCAGCTCTCATTTGTCATGAGACCAATATTTACCAGATTACTTGTATCATTACTTTATGAAGACTCATGTATCTTATTGTGATAATATTGATGGAAATGGAAGTAGGTATATCCAATTCCACATTCTGTCAATTCCAAAATGACACTCGCAACTTGAATAAGTTCCAAATAATTCATTCCATTTCAGCTATTCTTCGTGCACAGTATAATAGATAAATTAACATTATGTTGTTAACTGTCTGGGTCATGTGCTGTTATCACATACAAATTTAAAACGTTTTAATTATGTGGACTTATTGTTTCTGTTTCAGCAATGCTGCAGATCATTTAGTCAACATTTACCTACCTGATGGAAAAACTTCTAACGTAGATGCCCTACAGCAAGGGATTACGATAAAGATCTTAGGAGGAACGCAAGGAAACTAATCGCGGTTCGTTAGTGCTGACATCCTAGGCTAGATGTTCTCTGGTAAAGGGGCTCTTAAAGAAACCTGAGACCCACATTCGCATTGGACCTCCCTTGATGAGCGGAGGAATGCATTCACACCTGCCTCTGTACCAAACACCTGTTGTGAGGAGCCGAGATGGGGGAAGAGGAAGTACTACTCATTGAAACCAGGAACCCCAACTTTACGGATTACCTTCCTTTGGATGACCACATCACCGGTGAATGGTCAATGACCACTCCCAGAACCTCTAAGGAATATGTGTGGACCCCGGAGGTTAAGGAACGTATCACTGTCGTTGCTATTATAATGGTATGTACGATTGTTGGCAATTCTGTGTTGATGTTGATGCTGTTGTGTAAGCAGTCGAGAAGGATTAAAAGGGTGAATGTGTTTCTTGTCAACTTAGCCATTGGAGATATAGCTGTAGCTCTCATTACCAACACAACTGAGATTCTCTTTCTTGCCTTTGGAGATTGGGCTTTGGGGCCTGTTTTATGCAAGCTCTCTGTTTATTTACAAATAGTGACACTAGCTAGTGCGACCTTTCTGCTAACAGCCATGAGTATTGATAGATACCAAGTGATCGTGAAACCTATGCAGACTTTAGCCAATCGACCTAGGATATGGTTAAAGGTGACAGTTGCCTGGACGATGGCCTTTGTGTTCGCGCTGCCTCAGTTAGCTATATTTGTACAGGTGAACAAAGGTGTAAAGTATGACGGGACGCCAAAACGCCTCTGCCTCAGTCGAGGCTACACAGAGGAATGGCAGCGCAAGTTCTATTTTACATTCATGACAACATACATTTTACTGGTTCCAGCATGTGTCATGTTATTCTGTTATACTAATATCATTACAGTTGTGTGGGCTCGCGCTTCCACAAACGAGCATCCAAGTAGTAAATCACACTCTCTTTACGGTAAAAAACGACCTACTCCGACACCTGCTACCACAGGACAGGATTACCCAAGGATATCCGTTCGTCGGGGCTTAGTCACAGCATCCAAACGAAGAGCAATTGTGATGACCTTGACCGTGATCATCGGTTTTCTCGTGTGCCTCACGCCATATTTTATTGTCACGTTGATGAGGATATATTCCAATTATAAGCTAAAACTAAAAGATGCCTTAGTCGTATCTGAGAACATTTTCATGACCCACAGTGCTCTGAATCCAGTTCTCTATGGCCTCTTTACATTACGACCCAAACATTTGAAGAGAATAGGCCGATGTCTGTGCTGTAGCAGTAGAAACACACGGAAATCGAGCGAAAAAAATAGACTTATAAATGGAGGTACGCATCGAAAGTGTCAAGCATCTGAAGTTACCTTCAAGACCAAAGCGAAGCGAATTCCCCTTCCTCCTCCGGAAGTAACCAACGACTTAGTGGCTGAAAATACGCATGCGCTCATGTTGCTGGATAAAGGAAATACGACAACGAGCGTGGGTGACGGATATGAGAGAACCATTGACGCCAAAAGAGCTCTGTGCAGTGAAAGTTACCGGAAGTATGGTCCTCAGGAACAGTGGATGGCGAGTCGCAAGATTAACAATGATGAATGCCTTAGTGCAGTATAATTACAAGAGGCTGATTTGCTGCTAATGGCATCCCTCTTGGGAAAGATTTCATGCTGCACCACTAGTTGTGTCGTGCCATTATGTCGGACATACACATACATACTACATCATCTGGACTTTCAACAGACCATATGCAAATATCAGGAATGGGTTCAGCGTTATTAAGTGTATGTTCTCCATTCCATATTTAACTTTTAGCCTCTCCTCTATTGTTTTAAAATTTTAATCGGTTCTATGAGACTACAAGCATTAAATTACTCATTACAATATCGTGATACGGATTTTTTTTATTTATGGTGATATTAGTGACACTGTATATTATGCCTCAAAGTGAGACTGACTAAACAAAGAGCCGAACTACTGGCCGTCAATTTACATCCAAGATGGTTGTTAGTGACCTAATGTGAGACCCTAAACAGTAACAGCCAACAAAGATTTTCCAACACCCACCTCGCATATTTTACATAAAAATACTGGTACAGAAATTCGTTATTCGACACTGTTTGTGTTTTTATATAATTAATTGTGATGTGCAGACATTAATTTTTAAAGAAACCACGTTCGTGATTTTCTTAATACAAATTATATGTCACAGCTGATCATTTGAAAGACAATGATTGTCTTCGAAAGTCACCTCAGTCGTCGGTGATGTCTCGTATTTGCACAGCTGTTGGTATAAACGTCAACACCGGAGAATGATCAATATCCAATATCTGCCGAAACAGATTTCACAGGCCGTAAAATGCAAAACATCGATGAATAATATCTCAATGAGGCCATAATATGTCTGTAATGATATAACAATAATATGCTACTTCATGACTGCCAAAACAACACCTGGCCTGGCGTCGTGTTCAAGGCTTCACTGTTACTTCAAACCTTTTCATGGCTTTAACTCTTATCGCCGGGATACGGATATAAACTGCTGGGCAAAGGAACGTACTCATACGTACGAAAATTGGATCTAAACGATACCAGGCTGAAAACAGTCGCCGAAACACTACAAACCTAAGGTCCAAAAACACAATTATGGTACCCGTATGAAAAACATCACAATCAAATACTAGTAACCATTTCTTTCTTTTTTCATTGTCAATCACCATTAACGTGTAGAAACTTTCCATTCCCCAGCAGGTTAGGTCTTGAACTTATATCAAACGTAAACATAATATTGTATCTTGTTACATTCACCCAAAACATTTATTCTTTACTTCAGTCTCACTCGCTTCTTGTCGTGATTCGCCATGTTCATCCATAACAGTTATCGTGAATCTCCCCTGACCCTGTTTTTTTAAACTCTATGAATGAACTTTATTCCAGGGAATACAATATTTAATAAACTTTAAAATCATGTAAGGACACATCCCTGTGAAAATCTGAGCATTACACACTCTGCTGGAAATATTTGACTGCGGACTGAGGCAAACTGTGATGACGTCTTCGACTGCAGACAGCTGTAGACGCTAGTGGTTTATTCGACTGAAGACGGCAGTAGGCACTGGTGACAAGTTCGACTGAAGACGACGGTAGACATTGGTGAGGTATTTGACTGTGGACTATCGAACCTAGTGGTGATGTATTCGGCTATAGACAATGTTACAACTTATTTGACTGCAGACAGCGATACATGCATTAATCGACTTACCTCCGTAGAGTCCCTCTTGTTTATTGCACCGCTTCTAAAGTGACAGATGTGGCATAATGTGTTTTTCGGCCCGTCTACTGAGTTAACAGATTCAATAATGACTTCAAAGTAGGCCAGTAGGTTAATAGAAGTATCCTTTTACCTGCCATTTCCCACAGATTTGACCTATCACGATCAGCGACCAAACTGATGTCCTATTCAATTCCCTATATGTTCCCGTTTATTGTTCAGGTAAACAATTGACTTTTCATTGCACGCGTTGTAGGGGCAGGATACGTTCACCTTTTTGCGAAGACCTGGCATCATCACTATTTGAAAGTGATTTATAAACACATGATTATGATGTTGTCGGTATCGTTCAACACTGAGATTCGTTTGCTTCTGGAAAGGCCGCAATGCATAGCTCCAAGTCACAGGTTTTAATTAACTTTGACTTCAGTTAAATCTAAATTAATGCCAGAAATAGTTAGGGATTTGATCCTTTCGGTAAGATTTAATTTTTTGAAGGGCTGTTGAAGTTGGAATTACTAGATAGGTTGACGATTTTGGCACACGTGTTGGACAAGCAGTCAATGTAAATCTGTTATAAGAAGAGTCTTGTGTACGCTGACCATCTTTAGAAACACTAATAGAAGCCGAGGGAAGGGTCTGGGGTTGGTCACTCGAGCTCAGGGGAGGATGTGGAGGGGGTGAAGGAGGCACTCACACTGCCATCAGACCCAACACGGCATCTCCTTTAATCAATTACCCTGGTGTCCTGAACCGCCATCGCCCAGCTACACTCCCAGACTGTACTTGTCTGTAGCAATGTTCGTCCTCATCAGAACCAACGTCTGTTGCCTCTTCGCACTGCTGGAAATTGTTAATTGAATGTGTATAACGAAATTTGAAGGTATTATCTAAAATGGTTCACTGTCAACATCAAACATATTTGTTTTCATCTTTTAGGAACGAATGTAAGCTTTGTTTTGCCGTGAGGACATTATGTACATAGTGTGAATATTGTAGTTAAAATGTTATATGCTGACATGTTGCTATTAAAAAAACAGTATATGTAGGCTTAATTAAATCAAAGACAAATTTCAAACATGAAAAGCAGACAAACCAGGAAGTAACTTTTTATGTGCAGAGATATTTCACAATAGGTTTGTATAAAAGGACATTAGGGATGACAGATAAACATACGTAAAATCTATTTCGCGTTGAGGCTGGCTAATCTGCAAGTTAAATCAGTTTTGTCTATGTGGAGATGTATGTATGTACAATGTATGTACTGGTCTAGTATGTTGGTATCGGATTAATCACTCTGCAAAATCAGTGATGTAATCTATTCAAACAATTAATTAAGTCATATATTTCCAAATTTGAAACATATTACAGAAATTAAATGTTATGACTTTATGGTAGCGTTGCTCGAATGTGATAATATCTTTTCTCACTCACGAATGTCCCAAGTATGAAAATAAAAAGAAACATACCATCAGGATATTTCACATGTCTCAAATGCAAATGACCCTTCCATCGCTCATTGATGCACGCACATCTATATCACCCAACAATAAATGAAACGTTATCATCTACATAATCCAACAGTAAATGTAACAGCACATGCATTTCTATATTACCCAACAGTAAATGAAACAGTAACCGCTTCAAAAGACAACAGTAAAATAATGAAACAGTTCATTTATCATTATCACCTACATTGTCTAACAGTAAATGAAACATTATTACCTATAATATCATCTAACTGTAAATGATACATTATACCCTATGTCACCCAATAGTAGAATATTGTAAGTTATCCCCATTATCACCCAACAGTAAATGAAATATTACATGTAATATTAGCCAACAGTAAATGAAACGTTATCATCTTTATCCTTCACAGTAAAATAATGAAACAGTAAATTGAAGAGTATCACCTACATTATCCAACAGTATATGACACATTATCACCTATACCATCATCCAACAGCAAATGAAACTTTATCACCTCAATCATCCAACAGTAAATAAAACATTATCATCCATATCATCAAACAGTAAATGAAATATCACTTCTAAAATTAACCAACAGAAAATGAAGCATCGCGTTTATTAAACAACAGTAAAATATTTAAACAGTTAATTTAACATTATCACCTCAATCATCCAACAGTAAATGAAACATTATCACCTGTAATGTCATCCTACATCAAACGAAACGTCATCTTCTTTGGCACTGAGCATAAATGAAAACGTTATCATCTTCAGCACGAAAGCGTAAATGAAAGATTATTGCCTATATACTACCACATTGATCCAAATAAAAGAACTATTTCTTTGACCTTTTGACTTTCACTTACGACAGGAATTATCGATAGATAGGGACGTGCTCATCCGCTTCTCGAACACCTCCATCACAATTGCTGTGTATCTTTATTATGGATACTGTATTTGGCAGCGTTTCTCTTGGATTATGTTCTGTTTTAGTCTTGTGAAAGCGTTATGAGAAATGAATTGCATCCCTGAACTCGTTTGTCTTCAGTGGTATGTTTATATCAATCATGTTATCGGCTAGTGTGATACAGAACAGTGTGACACAGTTGTCATATATATGTTCAAAGTAGCTCTGGCGAAGAAGAAAAAATGGCGTTCACTTCATTTTACGGTGAGGTGAGGTGAAATTTGGTTGAACGTCGCGTTCAAGATATTTCACTTATATAGCGACCTTCCACTCTCCGAGCAGACGCTCTACTACTGGACCACGGAGGCGGTCACTTGATTTTACGATCGTGCAAAGCTGGATAGTGTGTGTTTTAAGCACATGATGTGTATGGAAGTTCAGTTTCAAATTTTAATCTTTCAATGTCACATTTCCATTGCTTAATAACGTCAAACGAACGGGTGTCATGTCACGCATATGCTATCATATCTAGTACACGTGTACTCGTACTTAAGAATGTTCAAATAAACCCACACGTTATATTATTATGTATAGGAAAATTATTTTGCTGGTTGTTTTACAGAAATCATCTGATCTCCAGAAACAACATTAATGTTTATCCAGTATCATGAAATTAATTATTGAAATGATTTTAATCAGTTAAAATACTAAACAAATGTATGGCAGCCTTTCTTCGGCAATTTGTATTATGGTGATATTGTTACGAGGTCATTTCCAAATTGAACTCCAGCAACAGATAACTCTAATTCTGGAGTAAAAACTTTCTTGAAAGCTGCTGTTAATGTTGCTGCCGATAGCACCTGCTACTTTTACGATCGTATCAATTATTTGCTGCCACTGACGATAACTACAAATATATTGACAACAATGTTTTTTATACCACCGCTACAATTACTGACGCATAACGATTACACAATTGTTGTTCCCTATACACTTGTATTATTTAAGTAGTTCCAGCCTTTGGTGTCCAAATAGCACAACTTTTTAGGTTTAATCGAGCATGCTCTATCTGCGAAGACTTTCAACAGCATCACTGGACTCTTGCACAAAACGTTTTGATCAGGATAATGTCATTCAAGACCTTGTCAAGCTTTCGAAACGTTTTATGGCAGTGATTTGGATGCTATTTACATGATATAATCGAAATCGTACAATGGATTTTGCTTTTGGCGGAGATTTCT